AGGAACCGAAAAGGTCGTGGTCACCACTTTCATAAGTACTTGACAAGAAAAGAAGGGAAAGCCACCTTGAGTTCTGAGTGTGGATTCAGTGTCAAACACCTCCTGCATCACCTGGCGATGGAGTTTTGAAAGACACCGTGTGTAGGTGTTCACCACCATGTGTGTGGTGAAATCACACCACGGTGCAAGGCTCTGGCCCCAAGAGGGGAACCCCATCCAGCCCAGCTCCTGCACCCCACCAAGGGCAGGAAGGCAGCGCTGTGGGGAAGGAAACCCCCTGAATTCAAGGTCAACCCCAAAGTCCTGCTCTGCTCAAAAAGCTGCTTCTCTTTGAATGGGGAGTATGTGAGTGCGTGAACTTAAGATGTGATCTTGGTTTGTCAGACAGAGCAAGCTACAGGATTAGAAATCTCTTTCCCCAGGGCTGGAACCTACATTCCAACATCAACACCACAAGCTGGACAGGCTGTCCCCTGCAAAGCAGTCTGCAATTACTCGTCATGTCTGTACGGAACGAGATGGGGAAGGGAGGGAAGACGCGGCTGTTACCTGGACTCCAGTTTTGAGGGAGATTTCACGAAGCAGGGTGATTTTCTGTAGATTATACACTTCAGCTGCTTGGTCAGCATTCTCACTGCAAAAAGCACACACAGGCTTCAGCTCTCAGGCAAGTTTCTGCTCAAGGACATCCCTCCACTGTGGTGCATCTCAAGCACAGGTCCCTGTACCGCTGGGTGCAACTGAAAGCAATGACTGACATTACAGGGGTTGATAATGGTCTATTAAAGCTCACAGAGATGCACAATGGTACCAAAGTCCCATGTGTGCTCTCTTCAAAGCTCACTGCAGAGTTTGGGTGAGAGACTGAGAGCCTGCAGCTCCTGGTAAAGAGCAAGCTGTCCCCGATGTGAGGGCATGTTCACTGACTGACCAGCTATTGGACTACTTTGCTCATGCTTCCAGTTTAACACTCATTGTCTGCAACCCCCAGCAGCCTCATTCACTGTCTCCGTTTCAGACACAGGAGAAGCTGCCTCTGGTTTTGGAACATAAGCTCCCTTCATCCTAAATCATCATCTATATAAGCAAGTATCTTTTGACTACCCGTTTTCAGCTTTTTGCCTTTTGCTCCCCTCCGCACCATTAAGGAGAGGTTTCCTTCCTCCTCTGGTTTTCCTACCTGCCTTTGCCTCATAGGTTTAATCTCATTTCACATTTCAGTTACACTTCCCCTGCTGCTCTTTCTTTCCATTATAAGCCTGTGAAACTCCCTCAAGAGTACAAGTTTATATTCAAACAGAAAACAAGTCCAAAAGGCAGGTCCTGTCACAGACCAAGAAGAGCTGCAGACATTTGGTGAGAGTCCAGGCACGAGTAGTTTGCTCTGCTTACCATTCCAGACTAAAATCAAAGTAGTTCTTTGCTTCTGAACAAATGTTCTTCCAAAGCTCCTGAGGGGTCATGCTGGCCCAGGCCGTGTTATCAGCATTCCCAAGGTTCCTGTTTTTCCTTTTCTTGTTCTTTTTCTTGGAGACCAGCTCATCAGCTGGGAGATGGGCGATGGGATTCGGAAAGGAGCTTAGAAAGCAGTTGAGGAAGTGGCTAATGGCAGCTGACAACCCCGACAGCTCCACACCCTGCAGAGACACCACAATCAGTCAGGGCAGATACCTGCCATCATCACACAGGTACTACTCTGACCCTGAGCACCATCACACAGGCACTACTCTGGCCCTGAGCACCACCACACAGGCACTACTCTGATCCTGAGTCTTGCCCAAATCCAGTCCTACCAGGAACAGGAAAACAACCCAGGACAAGGAGAGGAAGGCATTTGCAAGTGGAACTAGCACAGAGTGACAAAGATGTAACAGATAAGCATACGTCTACACACACATGCACAAATACATAGTTCTGTTCCAGGCTGCTACCCAGGACAGAGAAACTACAAAGCATAAAGAGGATTCTGATGCTGGACTGAAGCCAGGGGCATCACTGTGCTCTGTACAGACAGCTCTAGGGATACACCATGCAATCAACAAAGCTTCTTAGAAGGGCAAAAGCAACCCTGTTTGAGAGGAGAAGGTATTACAAGGAAAACAAGCTGTGATTTCACTTTTAAAAGCCTTCCCCCAATTCTCACTCATTATGTGGAGGGAAAGCATGAATGATTGCTCTCTGGGAAAGCTCCCTTCAAGTGGGAACTTGTTTTCCCTTCACGCAGGCCTGTACCTATTTTAGCACTAATGAGATTGTACTTCCCGTTGCTAAGCAACCCCCCGAGCTGCCTAATGAGGGAAGAGGCTCAAGCAGCTCTATTTATGGAAGAAGCCATGGGGAGGACACAGGAGGCAAGAGGTGAGGCTGCAGGTCATACCTGGAGGTATGTCTTGAAGATGTGTTTAGCCGATCGAGTGATCAATTCACTGATTCCTATTTTCTACCAAAGGAATAAAGAACAGAGACTAAGAGTCAGTTGGCAATAACAGAGAGAAACACACTTTGCTTCTCAAGGGGGCTTTATGAGGATCCACAAGACACGTTCTGCAGACCTTACCCTGCAGCACAGAGCTGGTTTACATGTGACAACACTCCTGGAGCCAGCGGAGCCCTGGCACATCCGTGCACGGTGACCACAAGCTCCAATGGTGCCTCTGGGAGCTCCCCCAGCATTAGCCCTTGTGCTCACACTTTCCAGCTTGATCCAAAGCCCAGACGGATCTTAGAGGCTTAAAAAATGCACAGCTTAAACCCCAGCTCTGTGTTACCTGCTATTACACTTGGGAATCCCTGAAGCACTTCTCTATCCCAAAGGACACTCAATCCCCCTAACATTATGAAAGCCATTAAAGATCTGGGAGCAAAACTTCCCATCCACTACTTTCAGGTCCTTCTCCCTCCTCCTCTTCTACTTCTGAAGCTGTTTATTTTACACAGAAAAAGCAATTTGCCAAGTTGGAATCCAAACAGGGCAAGTTGTGCCAGAGGTGGTTTTAACTGACAGCCTGATGCTTACATAGATGTGATCCAGCTGCGCACGGCCGGGGGTCTTGGTGATGAAGTTGATCACCTTGCCCAGGTAACGCATGTTGATGCCCCTCTGGTGCATGGCCTCTGCAAGGGTAGCCCCATCCATCGGGAGCACCGTGTGATCCAGGCAGTCTTTGACCTGAGGGTACAGACAAACTTCAGTTACTGAGACAACCGTGAAGGAAGGAATTTCAATTTTAAACCCTTTTTTAAAGAGTTTTCTGACTGGGGGGGGAAAAGGCGTTGTCTGACAGAAGAATTTCCAGGAATGGCATTTAAGTTACAAGCACAGCAAGAACTGGCAAGTACAGAGCACTGATCGGCCAGAGCCCGGGCTGCCGGATGCTCCCAGCCTCGGGCATAGGCTCCATAGCTGCTTCATCCAAAGTGGATACATTCAGCCTGGAGAGACCGCTCAGAGGCTCTGCTCAGCACCTCTGCTGTGTGGGGCCTTGGCATGGCTATTTAAGCAATGCTTGTGGAACTAGCAGGCTAACCCTTCTTTAAGGGCCTCACAGTCACTAACTTAAAACATTCCTAACTAAAAGATGACACGGGGTTGTGCACACTCAGCTGATAAGGGGACATGGCACTTACATGTTAAGTTGTGTGGCACTGCTGATAAAGTCACTTAATTCACGTCATGGAGTAACACCAGTTACTCACTGATATGCAGAGCATGAGGAGTGCCTGCTTACACCAGCTGGTCTGTAACATGCACTCACCTCTGCTTGTGCAGCGTTTTGGGTTTATATACTTGTGTATCAGCTCTCTTGTAAAACAACATTCACCAAGCCCTTTTCTGATTCACTCCTCCTCCTTTTTTACTTAAAGGCTGAATAGCTGCTCTTAAAGGTTATGCTGACTACAAAACTGGTGGATTTAGAGTTCAGAAGAAACTTTCCAGCAAGGAAAATCCCCTCCTACGTAAGACCAGCAACTCCTGCACCTCCTAGAGTGATCATCAATTCTGCCCTCCCAGTTACAGCTGCAACACAAGCATTAGGAGGCAATTTAGAGGGCGTCCTGAGAAGGCAAAAGCTGGTATTTCTTATCTAGCTAGGTGCATAGGTAAGCATCCAAAATGCTTAGATTTACAGAGGGAGGCTTTTACAAGAGATATTAGTAAGAACAATTTCCTGGTTCACTCCAAATTATTAGTCACCAATTGAGTCACAATCAGGGTCAGGTAATACAATAAGCTGTGCAGGATGCCCAGGGCTAGGGAGGGTGACTTACTTGGTCTTCTTCATTGTCCCAAACTCTTAGCAATAGCTGTTAATTACCAGTGCCAAAAATTCTTTGTTGGACTGAGGTGGGGAAATTGTGCCATGATGTAAGTCAGGAAATGGAAAACCCCTCTTGTGCCTGCTTTGGTCACCAGACTCCACCACTGGAGCCAGAACTCAGCCTTGGTTCAGGAGGTGAAGTGGGGCAGAGCAGCCAGGCTTGAGGCAAGCTCTCAGAGGGGACACGGCTGCAGGTCCTCAGTTCCTTACCAAACCTGGGATCTGGCACGACAGCAAGAAGGCAGCAGCATCCTTCAGCAGCTGCTTCTGATCCTGCACCTCCTCTTTGCTGGACTCGGGAAAGCGAACACCTTGGGGAAGAAAAAGAGAACACACACATCAGCTGAAAGGAGAACTGAGTCACACACAGAAAGTGTACAGTAAGAGAAGGTAAAAAGTTGAAGTGACTTTGTTGCCCTGGAATTAAAGATGCTTCTTCAAATACTTTCTACTCTACAACACATTTCAGTGGAAAGAGCATTGGCTGCTCTGCTCAGTTAGTGGCTGTGCTGCTCTTGCCCACCCTTTCTTCATTAACACAGCTTTTACACATCCAAATTCTGCTCTATATCTGGTCCATTCTACCTATTGCAAAGTGCTGTGAACAATTATTCCAGTGCAGAAGAGTCAATTGGCTAGACTGGAGTAGGAATGTTTTAGGAGAAGGGCCAGCAACTACTGCAAGTGCTAGAAACTGAGCCTTTTGCTTACCAAAATTACAGTAAGGTTTAAGTTCTAGCTGCAAAGGCAGTGCCAAAGCACTGACCTTTACCAGCCTTAGAAGGTGCTGCAGCCCTTCAAAATTCATGCTGCTTCTGACACTTTTATTCCAAGCTAAATTCAACTATATGAGCCTTTCCCTGCAATTTGTTTGTGCACAGCCTTGGTATTCACCCCCCTAAACACTCCGGGAGCTTCTTCTGTATTTCCAAATACAAAAATGCTGAGTCCAGGGATGGAAAGCTACAAATGATGCCTATGACTGATATGTGCATTCGCAAGGGCGCTGTGACCTGCTTACCATGACGTTACTCACGCAAACCCTGCCCTTCACTAAGGATCCAGCATCAGTCGTTCAACCACAACTGTTGTTTTTTGCGTAGCTACATTAGGATCAAATCTAATTTCCTTCCCTCCCTCTGCTGCTTTTCATGTGGTCCAGCAGCTGGGATGCTGGAGAATGGCAGGAACGTTCTTGGCAGCAACATGCAGACCTCCCATGCACAGCGGTGGGAGACAGCTCACTGCCTGCATCTGGGACTTGGAGCAGTGCAATCAATTACTCCTTGCTCTCTTCTGTATCTTTGTGCTTCACCACATTGCCAGCCAAAAGCCAGCTACATTCTTGGCTAAGGAACACAGTTTTTTGCCTGGCTGCAGCAGTGCTCTGAAGGAGGACTAACACCAGCTCTTTGTACACATACCTGGTGAGAAAATATCTGGGTTGAACCGAATGTCAAATGATGTGTCACTAATGGAGCCTACAGCCTTGCAAGCGTTCCGAATCA